TCAAGTGTGCATATAGCTATGATTGTGGTATGGATGTACTCGTCATTGTTGTAACATGATGCTCTGTTGTTATAGTAGGATTAATAGTAGTCTATACCATCTCGTAAGAGTCGAATGTTTTTCCGTTCTGCAGAAAAATAGTCCAACTAATCCTCAAAAGAGAAAAGAAAAAACTGCCCAACAACTATAGGTATTTTGCGATGTTATCAGTTATTTTCCAAAATCATGATAGTAGGAGAGCCGGCTGCAGATTTCTACCGCTATCTGATAAGGAAATAATATACAGGGTGTCCGGAAATTATGCGCAAAAAATCAAGGGGGTGATTCTACATGATGAAATAAGGAATTCTTTCCATATGCACCTGGGTCCGGAAATGCATAGTTTTCAACATACAGTGTGTTAAAACTTTTAAACAAGATCGTTTTTTATGAATATCTCAAATGTCCTTCTACCAATTTTCTCGAATTCAGGCAATAATATTCTTTGTTATGAGGGCTGATATACCCATAGTTCAATTGGAATTAGTGGCGTCCCGGGGGGTAACCTACCGAATATTATTTTCAATTAAATGTGCGGCACTGATTTTTTCGAATTCTGTATCTTCATAACCTATTGACCAACTAAAAATACAACATTTCGGTCTCCAGAATTATTTTGATAATTCGCTTAATTTCCATGGAAAAAAATAATTACCAATTTATTGCATACATTTGTGAAAAAAAAATTCCTTTAAAATCTGAGGTGAAAATAAATGCGGCATCAATGTCCATAGATAGAGAATAAGTATTAAAAATCATTTTCTTCCAATATTCCTTGATGCATGTTCGACACACTCTACCCTCTGTATATTGAGAACTATGTATTCTCGGTCCAGGAAGGCGTAGTTTTCGATGAAACAAAGTGTGTCAAACATGTATCATGAAATATTTGAAGTAAATTGATCTCAATTCATATTCTACGTCCATGGACATGGATAACACATTCAATTTCACCCCTGTTTGTGAAGCAATGTTTTGCACAAATTATTTATACAATGAATTGGTATTTATTTTTTTCCACAGAAACGCAGCAAGATTGCAAAACAATCCAAGAGACTGAAATGATGTATTTTCAGTTGATCATTATGATAGAGATGAGAATTTGAAAAAATCAGGGGCGCACATTTTATTGACAAAAATATTCGGTAGGGTGCCCCCGGGACGCCACTTCATTTCACAATTCTAATTTAAAAATGGCTCAATCAGCCCTTCATGACAGACAATATCATAACCAAATTTCAAGAGAATTGGTGAAGGAATATTCGAGGTATTCATAAAAAAACGATTTTTATTAAAAAGTTTAACACACTGTATCTTGAAAACTATGCATTTTTGGACTCAAGTATATATGAAATGAATTTCATGTTTCTCATGCAGCATCACCCCCTTGATTTTTTGCGCATAATTTCCGGACACCCTGTATGTCCGAAAGGAAAGTAAAAACATTGTAGTTCATCGAACGGCACCTGTGCCAATCACTATCATGAGGAAAAGTATTGAAACCTTGCACCAAGTGAATGATAGATCTCAAGAACGTACATGTGCTACACCCCTCAGCCAAATCCACGGCACAGCGAATTATTTGCTCCTATTATTCCGGACATACTATCTCTTTGTGTGATAACGAGATGGAACTAGAAGCAAATGAAAGGAGAAATATTTGCCTTTTGCGAACATCCAAAACGTGCCGCGATTCAAACTGATCTAAGTTAATGGCAGAGCGTCTATAATTTCATGAATATTTCGCCCTCGTCGTAAGATAATATGCGATGGACCAGTCCGAAACTCATGTGGCTCTCACACTACAAGTATTCTGATCCACATGTTGATTTTTTCACTGGTCGATCGGATATTATCTTTAGAGGGGGCGAAATATTCTCGGAAGTATTGAACCTTTTCCACTAACTTAGATCAGTTTGAATCGTGGCACGTTTGGATATTCGCAAAGGCAACATCATCCCCTTTTATCTGCTTCTTGTTTCAACTCGTTATCACATTATGGAAGTGTGTCCAGAAGAATAGCAGCAAATAAATCGCTGTGTTGTGGATTTGGCTCAGACAGAGGGGGTGGCACAAGTAGGTTTTTGAAATATACCATTCAATTGGTATCAGATGGCATGATTCATATCTTGTTATCAAATCCCGGAATCTGGTGCAAATTTCCGCACAGGCAAGTGCAATTTTTCAATCATTTCACTCAGGATAGTGATTGGCACAGGTGCCTTTGAGACACATATCATTTCGTTATCAGATGACGGTCGAAATTTGCAGCCAGCTCTTGAAATATGGAAAAGCCATCAACGCTTTTATCGTCAGAGCAGATAATACACTTCGTGAACTGAGAATTAGATTGGTCTATCTCCATTTTTTTTCAAATTGAGTTTCCATGGAGTGAAATGGAAATGTATAGAGAGATATATTGATAATATTTTCCTTTCTCTCGGAGCGCACAGAAGTCACTTTCAATAATGTTCGAGGAATATCGTTCTATTGGCAAATGAGCCTGTCGAGTACATCTGACTGGTATTGCTAGTGATGGAATGATCGCAGAGAATTGTGAAGAACATTGTTTGTGAAAGTATCTATAAAAAACAAAGGTTTTCGACTTTCTCACGGTGTTCCCATGATGTTGAGGAATAAGTGAGTGTGGCATAACCCACCAGGCAAATGACTCGCCTCTAGATGGAGTCTAAGAGCATCAGCATATGTTTGGGCCCTGAACCCCTCCGAACAAAGTGGAAAGAGTCTGTATAGCGTTATACAGTTTGAACAATGAAACTTTACAAAGGGCTAAATGACCAAGGTAAACATGTAAACTCAACCATGACTAACATCAATTTGGCAGTTATATTCTATTAACGGTTGGGTGGACAAATACTTAGTTTATAAGTAGCACATTAGGTTAGAACATTTAGTTTTCATCTTCTCCTGAACACAGTTAGCGGAACACGTGTCGAGGTGTAAAAAATCGGTTTGGTTAGTGGTAGAACAGTGTGTAGTGTATTATCATTATTACAATTATAACTAGAATACTATCTTCTTTACATGTAACCTAAAAATTCTTCGTGTGAGATTGAGTGAACCACTTATACTTAATTTCCATTGAAAATTACTAAAAATACGTGAGTCAGTCTCCACTGCGCCAACAATCAAGGAGCAAATGAATTGAAGTACTGCTTCGCCAATAGTAGCCTTGAGTCGACCAGTGGGCAAGTTTTGTGATTGATCATTGAAAAATGCCAACATTAGGGCAATGATCACTGGGGTGAAATTTCTCTAAAAGTAATGGACAATGTCATAATGTTTGCTGGGAATACTAACATACCTTCGGGACAAATCGAGGACAAATATTTTGTAAGTCGAAAAGTTTATCGAAATGAGTAGTATAGTAAGAAAGTATAACTGAATTAAGATATTCTGAGACAGAGATAAAAACGTTCTGTTCCGCCATGAGTCAGAAGTCAATGGAAAATAGAAAATAGAGTCGATACGAGACAAGACGAGACGAGAGAAAGGCCCTCTCTTTATGATATGAATGATTATATTTTGATTTTCAGGAGAAAAAAATTCGAACTCACAAACGGTTGGTGCAGTGGCTCATATTATTGATAATTATCACTGCTGATAATGGAGTCGAAAGAATCGACGAGTGTTGAAAGTAACATATTTTGAAACAAGGACGAACAAGGAAATAATTTCAGAGGTGGCTGATAATGTTCTCGGCTTCGCTAAACGCTCCGCCTCGCAAATGCAAAATTCGCTTGTCAAACAAAGTGTCACTTTTGATCCTAATAAAACAATCTACTTTTTTTCTTCGACGAGAATAGATTTTGACATTTCCTCTTCGTTGATAGGTAACAAAATGTTACTCATCCAACCTTCGTCAATAGAAACGAAATATAACGTTATGAGAAATTCTCTCACATGCTTGCAATGGACATCGCATTTCCGCTTGAGATAATTATTCTATTAAAAAAATTACGTCTTTTCGTGAAGGGTTATAAATAGTAGATTGTTTTATTAGGATCAAAAGTGACACTTTGTTTGACAAGCGAAAATTTGCGAGTCGAACAAAAGTCACTTTTGATTCGAATGAAACATGCTATTTTTTCTGCAACCGAAACAATTAACTCAAATATACTGTGAAGTAACCACCGATGCCGTGCCATATGTATGCAATGCAACAAATATTGACAAATAATCCATGTGGTGAGAATATTCTACCTGCATTAACAGCAGGTTAGGTTTTCTAGGATGGTCGAATTGTAGTTTCAATATAAATACAACCACAGAGTGACATATTTGTGTATGGGCCAGGTGCTTTAATGGCAAATACCGCGCTAGTGCCAGCTATAAGAACAAGACGTGGAAAATGTTAGGTTAGTGAGCATATCAACAATAATAATAGTGATTATTTATTCCTCTCCATACTACACTGTGTTTGACATGATAATCAAATGAAGCTAAACAATATCGTTGCTTGAGACAAAAAAACAATTGCTTGCCGTGATTATTCAAAACCAAGTTATCCATCCCGAGAATAACGAATGAAATACAGATCGAGCAAGTGATTGAATCTTGAAAGCTTCTCTGATCAAAACAAAAATACTCAACTGAGATGTTTATAATTCCAATACTGGCAATACTTAACTATAATAAGGTGTATTAATATCTCCAGCATGGGCATGAAATGCCAAATATGCCGAAATCGGAAACAAATCAGGTATGCATCTCAACTCAAATAACCAACCGTAACAATGTCGTTCATTCTTGATGACGTCCAGTACATCCTTTTCAGTCCCTAGGAGCTAAAGTTCAACTTTAGCTCCTAGGAACTAAATATGTTGTCTAGCAACATACCTACTTTTCTGTCAGTAATAGAAACGTCAATTTAAGAGCTAATTTTGGTATCAAAATGGACGACTTTTGTGTCGGTTGCAGAAAAATAATTTTATTCCTACCTTTATCAATATCATCGAAATTAGCAACTGTCAACTTCAGCTCATCGTAATTCGGTAAAGAAATCACAGATAAATTCTTCTTTCTCTTTATTGCATCTTTCTCGTTCTGGGAATGATTCTCCTGATTGTCATTTATATTTTCGTTCTTATCCTTCGTTTTTTCTTTGTGGTTATGGTGATGATGATCTCTGTTATGATCATGTTCATCTTGATCGCAAAGAGGGCACTTGTAGTTGATAGTTTTTTTCACGCAGAGCACTTCTTCGACTGGTTTCTTAGGTTGGAAGGCTTGAAGGCCACTTTTGGCGACAGCTTCAATTTTCTCTCGGAAATTCCTCTTTTGTTTTCGGGGTGGAGGTGTGGGTGTACCATTTTCATTATTGAAGATGATGGATAGTCTTGGATTCCGGAGATGTATCTGCTCTTCCTTTTCTGGTACTTCTAGGTCAACTTCTGTCCAGTCCGATGACTTTGAAAGTGGCCTTGTCTTTATTATGTTGTTCTGTTTGTCTAATTGTTGCTGGGGGGAACTTATTTCACACCTAAAATAAAAAAATGAGCATCATGATCAACCTAGAACTAACATCAGGAATCATCGATCGATAATATCGTTTCCAAAGACGCGAGCATTGGCGTTTTGATATAGTATCGTGCGTTTTCATCGATTCAGAAATTGCTCATTCATTTTCAACAGAAGTGCCTATTAATACGATGAGTGGATCTGTAACACATTCATGAATCATACTGGGAAGAACAAAACATATTCTCTTCAGTGATCATGAGCTAATTGAATACTAAGCAATATTCGAGGGAATATTCTCTAGGTAATCATTTCGACTTACATTCAATAAATTTGATGAGCACTAAGTGGTTTTCCTCTCACATATTTCAAAAACTATCATTATTAAAATCGAATAGATATTTCCTACTTTAAGTGCAATTATGTTATGGAAGTAAATCTTCGTTTTCAAAATGTTATCAATTGAAGAGAGAGATATGAATTCCTTGTAGTACTTGAGAATACCTCCTTTGGCAGAAAACTCCTGAACGACAGAGTTGACGACAAATGTATGTACTGACTGAGCCTGTCAAGCCAAATTGATATGTTCCTTATTCCTCTTACATTTAGTTACTCCAACTTCGAAATTTCCAGTATAAGCATTCTACTTTCAATGAATCATTCAAAACCCACATTCATTGCGAATATATTGGTGCGTTATTTAAGGAAAACGATTTTAATTTGTAACAATTGGAAACTTGAAATTCCGACATACACCTACTAATGGGCGTGTACACCTTAGTAGAACTTTTAACTCAAACCATGTTTATAATGATCCTTTTATACATAAATGATGATTGACGAAATAATTCGATCGAAAAATTAACTGGAATGTTTTATTTTTGGATATAAATAATAGTACTTTCTGAAAACGGACCCTCTTATGACGTAAAAACCTCATCTCGCCATGGTTAAAAGAAAATACCAAACGCACGACGGAGACTGAGGCAACTGATATATTAATTCTTTCAACTGTGATCTCGCGCTAATTCACTCTGTCAGAAATCATGTATCATTCATTTCTGTCTGGAATAGTCTTGTTTCAGTACTAGGGTTTTGACGTCACATCATCGCCTCGTTTTCAGAGGTCCGAAAAATCGGGGATTTCAATAATTTTTTATAAAACGTAGGGAGCTCACAGCAAGAAAAGGTTTGCGGTGGTGAAATAGTTTGGGTGAGTTCTATCGAATTATGAAATAAAAATTTTTTGTGATATAAGCCCATTCGTAACTAAAATGCCCAAAAATATTGAGCTCCTCATCAGCACAACATTTTTCTTCTTGCTATTTTGATCAGTTCACCAGATGAAAAAAGCTGAAGAAATTCACAAAATGACCATCGTCAGCTAGCAAACAATAATGAAGTATGTTTTTGAATTCCCTTCGAGATTAAGTGAACAAAGACCGGAAGATAGTGACAGATTTTCCGACGTGATTCCACCCAGTATGTCTTTTGATGGGCATTTTTGAGTGTATATTATATGATGTTATCAAATTATACATGAAATGATCCTCCCGGGTTCTTGTCAAGGTTAGGTGTACTTGGGCATGCAAATGGTACGCCATTTTTCCGTAGTTAATGTATAGCACAAAAATGTATACTTCTCAATAAGGGCAGCCACTTTGAGAACGAAAAGAACTACACCTGACCGTGATCACCTTTGGATCTAATGCAAACGGTCGTTTGTATTTTCAACTACGCATTTCACTTGTACCTCATCCTGGAACACATGCAACTTGAGTGAAATGGTGTCGAGATGCTTAATTTGCGAAAAAATAATGCAAATATACACAGTATAATAATACCCTTTAGAAGGCATACTGGTTGAAATCACGTCTGAAAATATGTCACTATCTCCCGGTCTATGAAACATAACACCACTTATCAGGTTAGTTGGCCTACACTCTCGATTCAAAATCGCCCTACAAGAAAAGTCTTGAAGGTTACAATCAGGTGAACCTGGTGGTCAATCGATAGGACCTCTTCCAAAAATGCAAAGCCAGAAACTTTGTCGAATCTTGACCTATTTTTAAAAAGGAGACACCAATATTCTCGTGATGGAAGGACTACCAGAACGATGTGGGGTATAATTGAACTTGAAATTTCGAAATTTTCTAAAATGTTTCGCCCGAAAACAGAAATAGACGGGTCTCGGCGATTTCCCTGAAAAAATCGTTATTTCTACTATCAAGTTCGCTATATTATTGACTCTGGTAGTAATTCATTCAAAGAATAATATTAGATTAATGATAATGTGCTAGTTTATTTCTAGTACATGCGACTTCATTCTCACTGATAACAGTAACATAATAGAAGAACAGTTCGTACGATTTATTATACCATAACCTAGTGAATTTCTACACAAAAACAAAACATATTACAAGCCAGCGGTTCTCATGATGAGCTTCAGGTAATGTGTCGATATATCATTATATAAAGCAGTAATTTTACAATAAATCATTATAATCAGTCATTTATTGCACTAGAATCTGTTCATAAATTCTCGGGAAACGAGTTTAAGTGTTGTTGTTCTAGGTCTTCAGCATAATAGTGCATCAACCTTGGGGTTTTTCATATAGTATATCGTATTGAATATATGAGGTACCGTATATCAGTCTCTGAGTTAAATACAACACAATGACTGGTACCATCAGATGAATCTATAGGGACACTGCAGGACTGTGAATAATTTGCACTAATTTCGCCCCCCTAATTATGCACATAATATTTTTTCTAATTTTTCCAGGCAATATTCTGAATTTGAACAGCAAAATTCTCACTTCTATATTACAGATCTCAGAATGCCCAATGTTGGTAAAACTTCATACGAAAAATTAAAAGTTCTTTCAACTTTCACATTTTTGTTACAAATATCAACATCAATTCCATATACAGTTGTGCTTGCTCGTTCAAATGAAACCTTATAAATGATATGTCCATGGAAATTGAGCTAAATCGTCCACATCCCTAAACTGATATAACGTTGATGTCGAACAAACTATGAGACTTCGCATACAGGCAATCAGTATCAGTTTCCAATATATGAAGAGAGGTCGAGCCAATCAATTAATATAAATCAAAATGATGTGACTCATGATGGTTGTGATAGCTGTAGCTGATAATATATTGAAAAGCTGAGCAAACTAATAATGTTCGTGGAACCCCCACTTCAGAAGTTACTTCAGCTAATAAGAGATTTGTGGAAATCTATTTGATGCTCAAATCACAATCAGCGAAAATCGAATCGCAAGAGATGAACGTAGCTTTCACTGAAAACAATACCATTCATAGTTTCCTCTATAGAAAATCTCAATGAAAAATTGATGCGAATGATAAATCAGGTATTCATGAGAAGAATTTATTATGATGATTAACATGAAACATATTGGGAAAACACGACGAAGAATTAGCAATAGATTCAAAGAACATATGTACACTTCAGATAAAATCGGTTCGATGCATAAACTGTTGCCCAACGAATTCTTGAGACTAGTCACCCTATCATTTTAGATTATTCTATTTCATGAACATGTGACAATAAATGATGAGGATTTGAACAGTTTGAAAAGTTTTGAATTATTCGGAATAGAAATCATTCGATGAATGAATATTCCGGACCTATTCCAAGTTCCAAATTTTTTTCACAATCACTATCACTTGAAATGTCTGAAGAATATTTCGAAATATACTATAAATACTCAACTTTTATCTCTTTTTACCCAGTTCCACTTAGGATGGCAATTTGGTTGCCGAGATAGGTACCAAATATTGATGTGGTATTCTGTGTACCTATATTTTGTACATGATAATTAACCACAATCTCCAGAACATCACTACTTGAATATATAAAATATATTATACTTTTGTCAGTAAATAGTATTTGTTCCGGAAAAGTGTCAAGATTAGAAGAAATTCTCTATAATCATCAATAAAACAAATTGTATTTGATGACTTCATCACTCATTATTTTATGAATGAAATAATAAGTTTCTGTAGTAGTTTCATTTGCAGTCATTGCGTTATTCAACCAACAATGAATCGAAGAATGCTGCGTGTATGAGGTTGAGGTGAGGTTTAGTTAGCGATGTCATTTAACCCGATAGTATACGTTGTTATTGAAGACATGGACGGTGTCAGCTCTATCAATCACCGCTCCAAAAAGAGCGCTTATACCGTCCAACAGCGCCATGTTCTCTGAAGAAGAGTGTACATATCAGAGTAACATACAGGAGATGAAAATGAAGAAAAACATGTTTGCCGTATGAACAGTCATCAAAAACTGAGGAAAACATTCGCCAAAAACCGATTCAAATCATCGAAACCAATTCACAAGAGCTTTGATTATCAGTAGAAATTATTCAAATTCAACAATAACTACTCGAATTCGAACAAAATCACCAAATGTTCAGGTTTCTATAATTTTGACCACCTTATGAACAATGAACCAACCATAAGGATAGGATGTTCTTAGTGAATCCAGCGAATACGTTGTCTTGAATATGAAATTCTTATTTACCTGTTAATTTGCTTCTGGTTCAAATGGGTTTCCGATTTCCAAGCACTGGGTCGAATCTGTAACAAAGAAATCGGTAACTGTACATTTGTTTCGATGATGTAAATAATAACTGCAATAATATAGATCGGGGATAATTATTATTTGTGTATTGTGAATCGATGCAATTCATGTTCTCATTGAATAACTGGAAGACGTTCTAGTTCTGCGAACACCTATTGAGATTATACGAAATAACTTGGTGCTATAAGGTACCTTCGAAAGTGTGTATATATCTGCTTTTGATAAGGTGGGTAAAGTGAATATTTTAAATATGAAAGCTTTTCCAAAATTGACGATAACCCATAGTCATGCAAAAACTAATCATCTAATTGAAAATATGTAGTTTTTCGGCATGATTCCGAAAATTCCGAAATTCCTTCACACATTTTTCACGATTATGTCGAAACTAATGGCGAAATTGTTATGAAATTTTGTATAGATGTGTTTTGAGAGCTGACACATCGTATGTTTTTATATCTGAATCTCATAGAGGGCGCTAGTTACATATGGTTCGTACCGAGAAATATAAAACATGACTTTTTCGAGGTTAGATTTTTCAATCCAAATTTGATGTCATCTTGAACACCATTCAATTTTACACCGAGAAGGTACGTTTGGTGAAACTCGATACTGTGTTCCGTTTTCGGAATATTTCAATTCGAAAATGATGATGTATATAGTAATAACTGTTTCTGGTATGATGCCATGTGTAAGTTAGTGAGTTATTATGGAAAACCATCACATATTCATTGAAAACCGAACAACAATACATTTTTAATGCTAAACTTATTGATTGAATAATTACAGATTCACATTGGGACAAATTTGACTAAAAACGCGGATTACACAGTTTCATGCAAAAACTCTATGCTACAGAGGTAAATTCACGTCAAGAGTTGCAAGACAGGATTGAATCGTGTATCCATGTAAATGGAGGACATTTTGAACAGTAACTTTAACTGATTCAATATTTCATGGCTTTAGTCAGAACTTTCTCAATTTTCTACTTGTGATTCTCTGTTCAATCAATAACTACAGCACCAGAAAAATGTTATCGTTTTTGGATCTGAATAAATAGGTAATTCATTCATTTTTCTTGATTCTTTATGATTCTCTCCTCGTTTCTGTAACATGAAAATATGAGTATTATTTCCATATATGTGAAATGTCACACCGTGTAAAAAATTTGTTATCAAGGAACCTAGAGGAAAATCTGGTTAGTTTGTCCGTGATACTTTGTTCGGATAAATGTCTGAAGTGGAAAAAAAAAGATGTACTAGCAGCTGACCCAGCAAACGTTGTTTTGCCATGAACATTACTTCTATATACAAATTGTTTAGATAAATATTCACCCTATATCTCTTCATTTTTTCAGACTATCCTCTATTTTCTACTCACGTCTTTTTAGATTCGCTATCTATAAAACCGTGTTTCATCAGTTTTTCAATTTACTATTACTATTTATTCTTAGTTTGACAATCCATCTCGTTGTTCAAACTATACTATCTGATTTATATTCCTATTAAGTTTGACCTCGAGTTTGGCTATCCATAAAAGCGTGTTTTATTATAGTTTTTCAAACTACTATTTATTACAAAGCTCTTTCCCCATATTGGATGGGCCATCTTGAATTTCCAAATTCCCAGATACAAATTTTGAATAGGATCAGATCATAATCACAGAGGTCACCTGCCATATTGGATTCTCCATGTTTATTCACCCAATTTCGATGAAAGAATCATAATCTACGACCCTAAACTCACCCAGATACAAATGTTGAATGGAATCAGATCATAGTTACGAAACTGGTTCGCCATATTGGATCTGCCATCTTCCACTCCATAATTCTGATGAAAGAATCACTATCTCCGTCTCCAAGAACAGCCAGATACTTATTTTGAATAACATGTGATCATAATTCGAAAACTCGTCGGCAATATTGAATCCGCCATTTTGAATCCTCCAACTATGACGAAGGAATCATAATCTCCGACCTCGAAAACCTCCAGTTACCAATTCTGATTGAACCTGACCAGAATCACAAAAGTCTTTCGCCATATTGGATCCACCATCTAGAATTTCAAAATTTTGACGAGATATTATATTTAATCTCCGACCCCGAAAACCCCCAGATACCAATTTGGAATAGAATCGGATCATAAATACAAAACTCGTCCACCATATTGGATCCGCCATCTTGAAATTGCAAATTGCGAAGGAAGAATCATAATCTCAGACCCATAAAACCCACAGATACAAATTTTGAATTCAAATTGTTTTTTGCGAATATCTCTGGAACCGTTTATCTCACAGATAGATAGGGGCATTTTCTACTCAAAGAAAGCTATGTTTTGTGCGAAACTTATTCATTTGTCATAATTGCTGAAGATTTTGAATGGGTAGTGAGTGTTTTTTTCAGCAATTTCTACGCCACTGGGAAAAGTACAGTTCTGAGCCGCCCATTTGTATAGCCTTTCTTTTGTGCACAAGAAAGATAATCATGATCAGAAGCTCTAAAGTTTACCGTTTTTGAGAAAAATCAACTTTCATGTTGAAAATCATGATAAATCGAAAAAAAAATTGATAATTAAAGAAGATCCATTTAAACTTTAGAACAAACATAACCAAACGTTAACTTGATGTTGCAAAATTAAAATAAAAAACGATAACAAATCACACTATTAATAATCGTTGGGAATGTCCGCGATAATAGCTTCTTCGAAAAATTGACGATGATTTTCAACATAAAAGTTGATTTTTCTAGAAAATGGCAAACTCCAGAGCTTATGACCACGAAAATCTTGTATATGTAGGAAACATTGGCCGTTCAAATAGGCGACTCAAAACTGTACTTTTCCAGTGGAGTAGAAGTTTGGTGAGAAAAACACTGAGTACCCCAACAAAATCTTCATCAATTATGACTTGAAAATAAATCAATTCCACATGAAACGAAGATCATTATGAGTAGAAAATGATTACAAAAGCTGTTTCCTGCGCGATAAACGATTCCAGAGATACTTGCAAGAAATAATTGTTGTTTCAAATTTCAAAAAAAGTCATATAACCTGTTTGTGGTAGATATAAATCCTATATCACTGATTTTTTTTTGAAATTTTAAGCTAATTCAGATCAGAGTTTATCCAATTCAGATCTCCTATACATTTCGATTTTCATTTCAACACTGAACAAATTGTTAAGTTATATTCTCAAATAATAATTGATTCTCAATTTCAGTTGAATATTCGAGATGATATTATGGGCATATACATATTTTTATTTGATATAATGCCAATCCTCAACTTCAGAAGATTTTGTTTTCAATTTTTATCGTGTGCGTTCAATAGATATAATTCAATGTTCGTCGTGACATATAGCCAGGAAAGTAGTTGTTTTCTGTTGAATAAACCAAGAAAGAATTGATATTTTCATCACAAAAAGAGAATAGTCCCTTTCCATCCTTTCACTCAATCGAAGTGTTCAAACTCGAACGATTGAAACTTGTTATTTTCTCAAACCTTCAACCACAGATTCGTCATCAGGTTCTTTCAATTATAATTTTTTTCTACGTCCTGTATAATGGATATCAATTTGTCATACATCCAAAAATGAAAACTCAAAGGAGTTCTCTGACATTCACTAACTTCCTGTCCATTACCTAAAAACTTTCTTACTGGCACTAAGGCTCTTTCTAATTTCCATTCTTCAATATCATGAATGTCGTAGTCTGTCAGAATATCAATTTTCTATTCAAATTGATCAACAGCAGATACAATTAAAACCATCGAGGCACTGTGACTACATGTCATCGAGCATAGCAACACAATAAGCTATTTTCCTTCATGGGTTTAGAGAATCAAAATAGTCTGTGACAATAAGGGAGCAGTGTAGATCTCAGTAATGATAGCGCTTATCGACCAAGAACCAAGCATATTGATGTGAGGCATCACATTGTGAGGAATCAATCATATGCTAGTGAAAAGTTTAACCTCCAGATGGGAAGTACTATCCCATGGAGTTAAGATGTTGAAAATTGAGTTATGGAATATTTCACCTCGCAGTATCATATCTTATAATAAATTGTATTTCAGGCAAGATTTATGATTTTTTTTATATGAACAAAGATTAAAGTCAGTTTCCCTTATACTGAAATTTTATCGATTGGATTATCTGCTTAGGCTACCAACCTACTTTGCTAAGCGTTTTATCCATGATAAACATTAATTCTACAACACCATGTCGCACTATTACCTTCTATTTCAACACAGTTGAATAACATTTAATGATAACAATATCACCTGACCTTACATTAACTATCTACCTTGGTACCTATACCTACTGAAGAAAACTATTTAGCGACTAAAATATTTACCAAATTCGTAATTCGTTGTGATGGGATAGGAGTCTTCAAGTGTGAATAGAAAACTTTCATTGACTTAATTATAACAAGTCGAAGCCCTGAGGGGGCAGAAGGACGATCTAGCCTTCATAGCCATCTAGTGGCTCAAGTGCAAAGGTGTATAGATAGATTCATCAATCATACCTTGCGAGTAAGTCGTGCATAAAGACCCCTACGAAAAGACATCCATGTCAGATTCTGTAGACTATCGCAACACCTGTAATTCTCAAAGTGGTTTAATGTTCCACTAACAGATGGTGATGAACCTAGAATCTCAAGACTAAGAGATTCTAGAATCTCTGGTGTTGCGACACTGGTGACACTATTGCTTACACTATAAAGAGTATTGACTTATCAGTATTGACGTACCTCAGATGCACCAACATGATTTTCAACCAGTCTGATATGAAGTTCACAAAAACAAAGTTTTCTTTTTAATAACTTTCATCAGAAAGCTGAGTTGACTACTACAATCAGATCGAACCAAAATCAAGCTATCTGAGTATAATGAGCATAATGAGTATAATGTTAATGCCATTTTCTGATGGTTAGTTTCTAATTATGTAATAGGCTGGCACTAAATTATTGCAAAGATGATATTGATAGGTTCAAGAAATATAT